TACATACAATATTGATCCAGATTTTGAAAGGCAGATGAAAAAAGTGAGATGCGTGAATCAGAGGTGTCATATGTTTGTAGTGTTATAATGTATTTTACAGTGTAGACAAAACCATTTTATAATTACAGTATTTCTGTTTCAGACGCTTTCTGTTCTGAACACAACGTGAGTTTAACAAAATGATAAGCGACAATTAAGTATGCTGGATTTAACATAGCACTGGAGGAAACTGAGTGTATACATGGGCAGTCATTTTGCAAACAACACAGGAAGTTAAATTTGTAATCCACAATACCTGAACTAACTTATAGCATCAAGCAAAGGAAATAAAAACAAACAACAGGATGCCTGTATGTGTTTATTTTACAATTTTCATCAGAAATGAACATGGAATTACTAACAAGAGAAAAATAATGTGAAGTAGTAGGAAAAAGGTGTATTTTATTCTTTTTTTAAAGATAGGAGAGAATGCTGTCCATATCCCTGGTACCTGAAAGGCATGTATATTGAAGTGAATGGCATAGCAACAGCTACACCAAATTGTACCATGGTACCTGAAAAAGAGAGAGAGAAAATGCTGAAAATGCATTACACAGGCAATCTGTACATGCTGAAAATCTTAATGACATAACACATCCATTGTGAAAACTCAGTTACTACTTTTTGAGCAAGATGCCCGCAAAGGTTCTTGCTCAAAAATGCTAAACACAATGGCCACAAAATTATGATTCTGTTGAGCACTTACGATTCAATTGTTCTATTTTCTCTGCAATGCTTCTTCACTGGGATAGCAAAATCACCCAAAATTATTTTTCTGTAGTGAAGAAAGACAACTAAGTACTTCACTTGGGGGTGATGCATAGCTTCTTATAATAATATGAATATTTGGTGCATAATAGCAATAACAATGCCAACATTGAAGCTTTAAAAGCCCATGGTTATCTACTACTGCTCACATTTTCATAAATTTCTTCCCTGAATGTTGTTATTTCAGTTACTCAGCACCTGAATTGATTATCTCTTTAAGAAGGAGTTGGTAATTCTAAGAATTCTCAGAAAGTACTGAACAAATTTGAAAATTTATCTCTTGTATTCTTGTAATCTGATTTTTTACTAAAGCCATATCAAAATGACTTTACTTCACTGGGATTAAATACATCTGTAGACAAAGATATAGAGATATATAAACCTTAGGTAAAGAAACATAGGGCAGTGACCTCTACTACATCTCCATCAGACCTTCAAAGTGCACAGCTGAAACGTTTTACTCCTAACTGAAAGATTATCATTTTTGTCACCAGTTAACACTTACACAAATATCCTTCAGAGGTTCCATGTTAAAATCTGCAGCTTCAGGAATATATATCGATATCTTCTATGACAAGGTATCTGATAGCTTGAAACTTCTGTCCAAATCTTCTTCCAAAATTATCCACAGATTTGAAGGAACGAGCGCTACATTGCTGGTGCTGTATTTCTTTTCATGTTAATTCTGATGTGCAAGCACTGTGATTTATTCCATCGTGTTAAGTAACCAGAACTGTATTGTGCACCCTTTTCATATTTGAGGCCACATTTTAGTCCCAGTTATGTTTGAATTTCTATACAGCATTTACTCTATATCTTCATAGTTTCAAATGCCACTATTTCATACTTTTCCTGAAAAAATTGACATTATAAATGTAATGGACTATAAATATTACTCTTTCAAATGTCACTAAGCCACACTTTTCTATCAAAATATGCTAGCAGTAAGCATTCTTCTGTTTTGGGTTCCCTTGTCTCTTATATTAAATTGCGCTGTAATCTAATCTTTAATGCATATGAAAGTGATACCATAATCATTCTTACGGAATGAATATTCATATCTTCAAGGGCAAGATCAACAAAAATAGAGACAGTCTTTTCTTTGAAACAGGCAACACATTCCTGTTTAAGACCAAAAAATCTTTGGCCACCACCAATCTGGCATTAAAAATAGTATTCTTAGTTACTTGTTTCGCACATTAAATCAATCAATCAATCAATCAATCCAGTTAGGGTTTGCAAATGGAGAATGGAACCGTATCCAGTTTAAGCATCATGAAGCTACAACATTCAAGCTACTTTTAAAGCTACATTCAAAAAATTGGATACAGTGAGCTAAGGCAAATTATTAATTAAGATAAAATGTTGCCACTAATGAAGTGACTCCAGAAAGCAAAATAAAATTTATTAAAATATTCAAAAGGAGGTATGCATTAGCCTCCCCTCCCCCACCCCAAATCCAATGGCTGTTCATTGAAATTCCATAAGCCATCATTGTCTCAGGATTTCATGGAAAGATTCTATTGAGACAACCATTTATTTTGTTGTGAATTTTTAAAGGTGCATTAATATTATTGAACTCTTACATTTAAAAATATCTAGTTCCGTTTGTACAATGGTTGTTGAAATAAGTACATAACTAATCATAAGATTTTTTTGAATTCCCCACTCTCACTCAAAGAAATAAAATTAACCATTAATTTCAATGGAGGCACCTATCTACATATGCATTCTTTTGTGCATGTAGATTGGATTTGTCCACTAAAATGAATGAGGAATCATTAAAGGACGGGAGAATGCATACCCATGCAGGGCCTACGATGCCTTTAAGTAATTTTTGAATCAGGGCAAAGAGATATAAGCACTGCACAGAAGAAATACACTGATGCATTGTGTATTTCCCCTCAAATTGTGTGAGATACACAACATACACAAATGTTTTATTTGAATGATACCAAAATTCCTCCCTTTTATCTGTTATTCTGCTCCTTTTCCAGAAATTTTTCACACTGCTCCAGAGCACATGACCTAGTCATTTACTGACTGTTGCTTCAATGTACATGAATTCATTAGGTCAAAAGCTGCCATGTGCACATTGTGTAAAGATTTTTAATAATATTGCCAAAAGAAAGAGGGCCATTTCTAGCTGACATGTGTGCATTTTAATGACTGATGACTTAAATTTGAGTTCAATGAAGATTATGAAAGGGAAAATACTCATATAAAAGGGCTTCTAATGTTTGAGATGCTATATTTATTAATACTGTGTAAAGTACACAAGACAAGTTAAAATAATATTGTTGATGTATTCTTTCAAGGATCACTCACTCTTCATTATAGGACTAAACCATAGCCTTGATCCAGTGGCTCCATTGTATATATGGGACTCCAGTTCAGTCATTGAGTTCTATGGAAGAAGGGGCTCCCTTCAGTGTCATGGATGGAAAGCTCCAGATGAGAGTATATATGTATATGGAACTACTGAATACATACACTAGAGCTTTGTGTAAGCTTATTTCTCTGTGTGCCATGCTTGCTGTCCATATTAAAGAATACACCTGTGTTTTAAGGTATAAACATAAATAAATGACTTTTATATAACTGCACACATTTTTCAAAGCCTATGCTATTTTCAGCCTATGCCTATACTATAACACGTGGTGGCCCTTGCTGTACATGGTTGAACACTGCATTTGACTTTAAGAGCTGTAACAAGAGCACTTGCGCTCCACTCAGCCAAGCAAAACAAGCAAACGCACACACATTTATTAGATAATGCAACTAACACTACAAAGTCCTTAAGCCAGTGGGGTCATACCACACTCAGCAATTTTATGCTATACTAATTCCTGCAGAACACTTAGAGGGAGAACGCATGGAGGAACAGCTGTCACTGGAGCTCCTTGCCATGGTCAATATGATCAACAAAAGGAAGCGAGTGTGCTGGTAAAAGAGTTAAGTGTCAAACAAAAATAAAATTAAGAAAAATGAATTTCAGCCACTTCACTATTGTAGATATAATGCTTTACACAACTCCGTAACCACAACCTACTACTTCCCCTTCATTTTTTCTTCCCCATGATACCTAAAAGCTTCATGACATGCTGTACAATCATATATGAAAAAAAAACCCAAGTCCCTGTCTTGAAAAAACAGGTGACATACACAGGGTAGGGAAGAAAAGGGATGCAGCTAAATATATGCAACCTTTATATACATATATTTAATTTTAGTACAAAATGTCAGCAATCCCCATCTGTCCTTTCACTTAGCAATCAAGTCATTGCAAGTTGTGCAATAGGCTCAGTAGGCTTTGCAGCAGAGGTGGGTCTCAAGGAGATAAAGGAGAGGAGAGTTGTGACCTTATGGATCAGTTCAGGGAGGGCATTCCATGCATACGGGACAGTGTGGAAGATGCTACATTGAACCTGAAATTATGCAGAGCAGCAGTTCTCCAGGTAAAGACTGAAGTTGTGTGTGAGGTGCCTATTTTTTTATTTGAGACAGAGGCAGTGTGGTTCTATGAGTAACAACTGGCCATTAAGCAGGCAAGTGGAATAAGTGATGCAGGACTACACCAAACTCCTGTTACTTGCCACTGTTTCTCATAGGGCTGCTTCATGCATGATGTTCCGACATGAAGGGGGCTTCAGTGTAGGAAAAAATGTGTACACATATGCATAGCAATGAGCATGAAAATGTTGCAAAGTGTCCATTTTGCCTTGATTACACATGTTCTGAAGCTGTAGCAGGAGGTTCCAAATACATGTAACCACAACAGAAGAGAAACACAGCATAGCATGTGTGTGCATATTTTTGTCTTACAAGAAAGCTCCCTTGTATAAGAAATGTCATGTATGAAACAGCCCTAAATGACTGTCAGTGAGCACAGTAACCTTGAGGTAATGACTGGGGAACAACCGGAAAGGCTCTTAAACAGATAAAGGGAAAGGAAGTGGGGATGAAGGAGGCAAGACAAAAGAAAGAATGGGGTCATTTATTTCAAACATGATTTCCTAAAGAAATTATTTATTTTATGCATTTTAACTCATTATCTAAGTAACTAAAAACATATTCATTAATTATTTGATGATTGACAAACTGGACCATTGACAACTGTGTAATCTCCTTTAATATGAAAAGGTGCAGAAAAAAAATAAATGAAAAACAATTGACAAAATGCTTCCCCTTACCCTTCTTCTTCCGTACTGAAGCTTGGAAATAGAAAGGGAATGAATGGTAAATCAAATCTGAAGAGAAGGTTGTTCTAAAATGTTAAGTCCCTCATTGAGTCTTGAGTAGCAACACTGAGTATTGGGGTTTGCCCTTTTACAAACTACTATTCATATTAATTCTGGTACAGGCAAAGTTTAAATAAGGAGGAGGCCAAATTTGGACTAAAACAGATACCTTGACTTTGTCCACAAGCAAGACTTGGTTTCCAAAGTTAAACAGCATACTTGGAATTTAAAATTTAAAATAACAAGAGCAATGTGGTATGTATATTTTTATACACTTGGAATTTAAAAGAAAAAGTATTGTGATTACTTGTTAGGCCATTTTTTCCTTAAAAAATTGCTGGAAGTTCTAAAAAGTGTAAATAAAAGAGGTTGATTAATAGCATGTTAAAGGACAGAAATTTATGGGCATGAGCTATCACTCCTGAAGAATTATTCCATTTGTTCCACATGGCCAATGGCTTAGTTTCCCTCAACACAGCAAGCCATTCGTATGTCAAAAAGCACAAAAACTGATGGGAGTTTTAGAAATAGCCTGTGTTTTAGCTGGGAAAGGGAACATCAGGGGTTAAAATATAAAATAAAAATCCACAAGAAGCTCCTTGCCAGAATTTAAATAAATCATTGTGCACTATCCATCATGACCAATAGCAGGGTCTGGAGGCAAGTAAAAAATATTATTGAACATATCCGCTAAGAGATTTCTGCTGTGCTAAAGTATGTGATGGTGAGGGGCTGAAAATGTCTCCCTCCAACTGCATTAATCTTCAGGGATAGGCAAAATCCAAGAAATTTTGGGTGGGAGATAAGCTTATCTTAAAGACAAGATGACAGTCAAAAAACAAAACAAAACAAAAAACAAGCAAACCCAACAACTATAGGGTTCACATTTTTTGAATTCACACATACCCTAAGTATTGCCAATACCATCCCCAACCCCCAACCTTAGAAAAGACAGCTACAATTAAAACAGGAAAGTAGTAAGAAGAAGCATGATACAAATACATAATAAGCACATGCTTTGCATGCAGAGGGTCCCAAATTCAATCCCTGGCATTTCCAGGTAAGATTAGCAAAAACACCTGAAACACCTGAAAGCCACTGCCCATCAGTGTAGACAGAACTGAATTATATGGACACATAGACTGATTCAGTCAAAGCCAGCTTCTTATGTTCCTAAACCTTTATTTATTTTTGATAAGGAGACACATAATGCAACATCTTCAATGACTCAAATTTAGAAATAAAATGTTTATATGCTGTTTTGTAACCTTTACTTGATGAAAAGAACTTGATCACTTAAGTTAGATTAAGGATGCAATTATGCTGATCCATGTCAATGAAAAATACAAAAGGAACATGTAGATGGTTAAAAAACTGGATCAACTTCTGCTGATAAAAGAGCATTCAAGCCTTATCAGGATGCAATGCATTCATTAATAGACAGTGTAGAGTTTCCTTGTTTTCTTCAGGTATCAGAACTGTCTACAACACACTGCTAGTTAATATGTACAATATGGCATTAATATTTTGGCTATCACAAACAAATGCTGCCTCATTTGTACATAAGCAGATATGGAAACCCTGCATAACTCCAAAGCCTTAAAAACCCTTTGCAACAGAAACAAACCACACAGAATCAGCCACATGAATTCCAGTGCTAGACCAACTCTACAATTTGTAACACTGTGCTAAAGTGGTTATAATATTTTCATGCATGCAAACTAATTTTCTGCCATACTTTCAATGCTACATGAAAGCTTGTATATGCTAATGAACAAGGGTGGTCTATTAAATGGCACTCCTGCAATGTTTTATCAGAGGCACACACAACTGAGCTCTGTGATACTCAGTCCTGAGCAAGCAGTGGAGGCTAGTGGCTCCAACATCAGTGAAGTAGTATAGCAATCCAGGCATTTGTCTAAATTTTAAAGCAACTGCCCACGAGGTTTGTGGCAGAGTGCTCGACTAGATGGACCTTTGGACCTTTGGTCTGATCCAGCTAGACTAGAGTGCTGGACTAGATGGACCTTTGGTCTGATCCAGCATAGCTTTTCTTATGCTCTTACTAGGTTGCCCTCTAGTCCCCAACAGATATAACACCATGGACAGCTCTTTAAAGTTCAGACTGAAACCTACAGAGGATACCTGCCCCACTGGCACTGGAGCTACATGCCTCAACAGCAAGCAAATATGCAGAGGACACATTCAGTACATTTACTAGCACTGGGTATACAGGTGTATACAGCAGTGCTCTCTCTCTGCATGATCAAGGCAGCTCTCTTGACTTGGAAAGAGAATCTGGAAAAAGGAGTTTTGTTTGCAAGCAGCATTGGAGATAAATGGGGTGGCACCTTTTCTCATTAATCTTCTTGTCTATATCCATGGTACTTGACTCTCATTCAATGCATATCAAAAGCCAAAGTACCTTCATTATCTGTACCCTAACTCATTCCTGAATGGAAACTCCTCCTTAACTTTTGTTGTAAGAAGGTCAGAATACTGGACTTTACTGCAAATTCTATCAGGTTCATTATGACTCCCTTCTTACAAATAAAATAATGACTCTATGACAGTTAATTTTAGAAATCGTAGAGTCTTTGTTGTTTTTATTTAGGACAAATGTGAATTAGGAGTTACACCTAGACCAGGAGGAATAATTACCAGGCTGACTCAAGTAAAGTACCAAAATGTGTAGTGACTGATTTCTTGCATAGCTGCCATTTATTTATTTATTTAGTTAGTTAGTTAGTTAGTTAGTTAGGGAACTTCTATGCCGCCCCATTCACCGAAGCCTCGGGGCGGCTCACAAATATAAATAAATAACATCATATAAAATAATATAATTTAACTGTATAAATTAAGTCGCCCTGGCCAAAGAATAAAATAAATAAATATTAACAATTAAAATAACGTTTAAATAAAAAGGTCTTTGCCTGGCGCTGAAAAATAAATAATGACGCCGCCAGGCGGATCTCTCTGGGGAGCGCATTCCATAGATTGCTTTATAGGTCTTAGTATACTACTCAGAAACTATTTTGAAACCCACGAAACTGCACATGGAACTCATTTAATTCCCAAGAAAAGTCATATTCAGGCATTCAGTTCTTGCCCGAAGAACTTCCATAGATATAGAAGGCTGTGCTCTTCAGTCAGTCACCCTCCTTGAGTATAGGAGGACAACACGGACAAGGGAGTAGAGAAGGGCTGGTGAGCTTCCCTCACTGCTGGTTTGATCTAACAAGTAAAACTAAAGCCACACCTACACAGTTAAAAGCACTTTGCCTAAGGCAATCCACAGGGAGCATTAAACAGGACCCACTTTGAATTTATAATTAAAAGAAGAATTACCATTATTCTGGAATTTTGGGAGAAATATAATGAGTTTAGCAGAAAGGGCAAATATGGAGAAATGGTTTTTGGGATCTCAAAATAGTTCATAAGTAGGATGCCAAGACTTATAAAGAAAGCAATGTAATTATTCAGTTACACTTAACATTACACATGTTGATACTTAATTGGGTCAAACTGGTGATTACCTCCTCAGCCTAGGTATAGAATGCAATTAGCTTTTACTGGGTTGTACCCAGACTTGCTTTTAGTAGAACTCTGCTCACAGTTTGATGGAGATGACCTCAAATTGCTCCTTCCCCTGTGAGGCCTCTGTATTCCCTGAAAGGTTTTTCTGGAAGTTCAGGAGGATGCTCTGAACAGGGGGGGAAGCTGGTGCTGGGCCAGCAAGGGAAGGTGGAATTAAGTCCCCTGCTTCTCCACCAGGGACAGCCACTGGATTTCATTCCCTTTCAGGTCCTTCTGTTTGTGGAAGTGCAAATATGAATCCCAGTCATTGACCTAATAAAAGGAAATCCCATTCACAAAGATTACAGGAATATTTTTGTTACTCCTTAATTACAACAGAAATTACTGCCTATTACAAAAAATTTATCTTCTGCTCATAGGGAAATAGATTAAAATGGGGTTTGCTATGATGCAAAACTTCACGATATTTCATGAGTAACATGGGAATTTTGCAGCTAGCAAAATTAATAAGAAAGGAAGAATACACACTCATATAGCATGCCCCCTATTTTCCATCAATTTAAAATGTTTTCTGGCTATGTTTAAGGCTGAAAAACAACCATTATCATCCAAAGCAAGTAAATTAGTGCAAATAACAAATCCTATTTGAGGAATCCCTGTAACTTATATTGTCAAATGTTTCAGCTCTCTTTAAATATATTATCCAGAAGTTGTGTTTTTTCCCTACAGGCTATCACCTAAATGAGCATTATCATGTTGAAATTGTTAGACAAAGGGCAATATTAACACCATGCAAGCTCATAATAAGAACCTCTGAATTAAAGTAACATGTACTAAATACTGATACTAGTAATGTTATCCAGACACACTTTCTTACATCTAAACCGATGTTCATGCAACAATTACTAAAAGGTGGAAAAGATGCACTTTTTGTTAATAGATCCTACTGTATAACTTCATTTTTAAAAATAGGAAAACCAACATGTAAAGAAAGCTCATGGTCATGCAAATGCCTCAAAAATAAACAAACAATACTGGCCCCTGATCCAAGAGGACAGGAGAAGGTGATCTGCCGCATGCTATATTCCTTGAAGTCTGCCACATGCTACATACCTTGCCTTACATATGAAGCAGTCTCCTGTAAGGTGCTCAGAAGAGGGGAAAGAGCTCTGAAAAAATTCAGCTCCCCAATTCCCCTTCCTCTGCCTTACAAGTAACTCGGACTGCCAGGGCTAGTAACACTGGTCACTTTCTGGAGTTCCTATATTACACATGTGTGCATGTCTCAGATGCTGGTGATGTTTCCCCCCATATGAACTAGTTATAGGGCAGATCTGAGGGCAGAAACTTATTTATGCTCATGAATTACTTGTGCTGGATCAGAGCAAAGGACTCCAATGAGCGCTAGCCCCCTTACAGCTAAAAAAAGCTTTATGTCTTGTCAGCTTTTAAACAACAAGGGCTAGCAGCTTACCTTTATCCACTAATGAGAGGCCACAGAAATTTAAAATAAAACAATATTAGATAAACTGATTTTTAGAAAGCAAAGCAAGCTAATAAAATATACTGTAGCTTTCAGTTAATGTGTAAAACAATGATGCATATAAATGATACATTCTCTCGCAGAGCTGGAAAAAAATAACCAAAAACAGGATCATTCATGCTCCTCATGCACACTTCATGAATCTCCAGAAATGCAACATTCCCATATACATTTTTCAGTACGACTTTCTGTACAGGGTGCAATGCACTTTCAAACATTATAGTATTGTGTTTATGTCTCCATTATTGCAGCATGCTCATTAGAAAAACGCTTTCTTACCAAGCTCTTCAAGCTCTGAGGTCATTGATTTAGACCGCAAGGTCAGTGCAGTTGTTGGAGCCCGTTTTGGAGGTGGTGGGGCTTTGCATTAAACAGAAGGACACATGTGATAAGTAAAAGCACACCAGTATATTGTATCCTCATATACACATCACTCAAATGCTACCCCAAAATGCTACTCCAGAATGTGCTTTTCTTAACATACCGAAAATAATCACCTAACTGATCTCTAGCAACAGAAACTACACAGAGAGGTTTCCCTTCATAAGAAAGATGCACACCATAACATTTCCTTAATCTGTAAATTATTTTATTTTAGGAAATGTTTATGCCTGGTATTCTCAGCCAAGTTTAAGTCACTGCATTTTAATTGATAAATCTGTGAGCATATGAGCTCTGGTACTGTAGAAGCCTTCAAGCTCTGTATTTCTCATCTCATATCATTAATGCCTTATGATATCATCATATCATTAATGTCTTATGTGAGAGCAGAAAAGTAACTGAAATTATTGCACTGACAAAATCATTTGTGCAGCAAAAATCTTCACAGGACACAAAAAGTGCATGGAAAAAAACACAGATGATGGTTCTATGACTAAAGATATGAAAAACAACATGAGCCAAATTGTGTTCAGTTCTAGTTTGAACTAGACATGTAAGTCATTGCAGCATGCAAGACAAGGCTTTAATTTTATGTCTGTACCTGCCATATTAAAAGATCACTATTCAGCACCAGATGCACCTGTAAGATTTCTAATTATACAGTTGCTTTGCTGGAGCTCATAGCAGCAAACCATTCGAGAAGTTAAAATGAGAGAAAAAACTAAGCTTTGTCATTCAAAAAGTCTAACATGCAGATTCCCTGTTATACAGGGAAAATCAGTTTATGATGTTACTGCAAATCACATATATAAAATTGGAAGCTATTTTCGATACAAGATATGCGTAGCTTGATGAGTCATGCACATATTAGTTACACAGTCTAATTGCATGACAGTTCTGGGAGCATAAAATTGACAGTAACGCTAGCCAGTCATATTTGTAGATAAGAATAAACAGGAGGTTCATTATCTGACAACATAAGAGAAAGACATTAGCCGAGACAAATACCACAAATGGTACTGTCCCTTTGCCCTGAGAGTTCCTCATTTTTTCTAAATTTCAGAAATTTGTAAAATGAAGCAAACAAACAAAAGGTCTTTGGCATAAACTTTTGGGCACACCATTCTTTCCAGATGCATGAACAATCAACCTCAATTTGGCCTATCTATCTATGTCTGTGGAAAGGTGTGTGAGATGTGAATTCAGAAAAAATCAAAATGCAAAAATGCACAAACACTGATATTTACTTGAAAGGCTGTCATTTACAAGATGACCCTGTACAATAACACAATTGCAATAGTGAATTGTTTAATGTATTGAAATTCAGGAAAGTACAGACAGGTATTACTACTTGAAAGGTTGCTATTCACAAAACATGGGTGAAAAACAGACAATTAATATATAGGTAGTGTGATTAAAGAGAATAACTTTATCTCCATACAAACCAGAGGAAATAGAGTTGAACTTCTTAAATTGTACTTCAGCAATTTCATACTGGTATGTACCTCTTCAATTCCTATGTTCAAGGTTGGACACTTTAAGGAACACTCACTGCCTTCCTTGGAAGTTAAAATGTAGATTGCATTATTAGGTTCTTCAATAACATTGCAAGGGTGGTGGTGTTATCTAGGCCTGCCACGAAGTCTGCTTCCTGTGTTTCCGTATCCTTGTCATGATATTTTTCTCTCTTACTGCCACTGGCAGGTAGGCCTGAACTTGCTTAGAGACAGGAATTCAACTTAAAAAGGACATCCACCACTACCAGACTATCCACAAGATCAATGGTTTGCATATCTCTCATCCTTCAAAGTAACAGATGTCATCATTTGCCAATGTACTCTGCATGTGACAAACAGGACAGTCACACACTTTGGGGGAATGCAAAGTAATAAATGGCCACAGATCTGATCTAAGGAATGACACTATTCAGAAACCAGCGGCAGAACTTCTCGACCTTCAAAGGTACCCCGAATGATTTTAAAACAATCATTCTTAAACAAAGCAAGGATTTCAAAGGCAGATACCACTGTGGAATTGGTGAAGTACAATTCATTAAGAAATACAACTTTATTTTGAATAAGGCAAAAGTTTCATCTGAAAGTGTACTACATATGTTAATTGGCTCACCATTGCAATTATGTCTGGGTTATCATCCAACAACATTTTATGAATGGCAACTGTTAAATAATCAGTCTGTACTTTCTGTCTTTCAGCTTTGAAATTCAATATGTTGATCAGTTAATCAATGTGCCATAACTCAAACAAAGTCTTCTGAATGACAGCTGTTAAGGTAATTATCACTGTTTGTGCTTTATGGATTTCAGTGCCCTCCAACAGCACTGATTCTCTATCCCCCTCACCCTCTCCAGTTTGCTTTCCTGCATATACTTTATACATCTGCCTGTTTGAGGCTGGCATTGCATGTACCTAGTGAAGTGGACAGTATCCACAAAAGCTTGTGGCAGAATACATAAATGTGTTAGGCTTTCATGAGCCACAAAATTCTTTATTATTTTTTCTACTATGGACTAACAGAGCTACCCCTCTGGAAATATTTGCAAAGCAAAGCAACTATCACGAGCCCTGAAAGATGAGAAAATTAGAAAGGCCTGAAAAATGCTAGTCGACCTATTCATGCCTTTGACCCCCCCCCACCCCCACAAAAAGACAAACCCTTCCCTACCCCAAGGTTTCCCCCTCTAAAGTTGGTAATCCATGCTAGTACATTTAAAACTATATTTAAGACTGCCATCTCCACAAATGACAATGCAGAAAGGCACTTTGGTTAAAAAGAAATTAACTCCAACTCTACAGCTTCCAAAGCTTCCAGTATTTCATACAGATATTCTTACTGTTTCAACAGGATTATGTTTTGGCTTATTCCAAGGGCAACTTCTTACTCAACATAAGATGCATGGAAAGCAGTATTGGGCAGTGGAATGGCAGCATAAAATATAATAGTTTAATTTATATAACTTTATTTAATATAAGAGGAAGGTCAATGCATGACTTTTTTTCAGAAGTGGCAAAACTCTAAATAGATTGGGTGAATGCAGGAAAGCAAAAAACTCGAGGTGCCTACTTGCATTTTTAAAACAAAGACATGGGTCTTTAAAGGAGCAAGGCAGAAAATGGCCTGAATTAATTGTGCCTTTGCCCTCTTTCATACAGATGCTTTGCACTCTGGTAACTGCTTCCCTGTGAATAATCACACACCTCTGTGGAATGTATGTCAATTGGTCCAACCATTTGGGATGGGATGGCACCCTGCAGCAGAAAGGATACTAATACCTTTGGCTACAGGGAGGCATAGAAATATCATAAATAAATAAATAAATAAATACATAGCTGGGTGAAACCCATCAAGCAAGTCTCATCCACACAGCTGCGATATTTACACCAACTCTTCTACAGTGGAAACTTGCAGCAGAAGGAACTAGTACACATACCTTTGTGTTCTCTGAATTGAGAAATCAATCCTTTTCATGCATACTAAACAGCAGAGCTACACGCAAATTGTGTGGCATGAACACAAATGATGCTAGTTTGTTCTCTTTATGTTGTCTCTCTCTTACTAATTGCTCCCTCTATGAAGCACCATGAGAGACACTTGGAAACCATAAAAATAATGTACCTTTCTTTCTGGCTGTGTCATCTGGATCAAGATTCCTGGTTACTGTGACAACTTTAAGAACTAAGTGATTGCCTCCTTGCCGAATCATGTTCACCACCTGCCTGTGGCCAACCTTTACTACATTTTCATTATTAACCTGAAACAAAAATAGACAAGAGTTAAGATTAAATTGAGCCAAGATATACAGAGTACAGTTGATTCAAAATTGCTACAAAGAGAAAACACAGTCCTGGAAGGAAAACGTAGAAATGCTTGCAGAATCTGACCCTTCCAAATTTCTGAAACAAACTTCTGGACTAATGTGAGAATTAGTGTGGTGCAGTGGTTAAGAGACCTTGGTTGGGACTTGGGGAATTGAGGTTCTAGTCCCCGCTCAGCCATGGAGCTCACTGGGTTAGTATGAACCAGTCACAGACATTCTGCCCAACCTTCTCACAGGGTTGTTGTTGTGAGAATAAGAGTGAGAGGAGACGGAGAATTATGTAAGCTGCCTTGAGCTGCTTCAAAGTAAAAAAGGTAGGATATAAATATAATCAATCGAAACTAATGTGAGAATCAAAGCTAATTATCCACTAGCTTGCTAAATTTTCCTATGCAATTCTCCTATGCAATTCTGCAATTCTATGCAGTTCAAATAGCGTACCAAAATACATTTTGACAAGTGTACTTTGTGAAAAAAGTTTAAGAACACACAGTTATTTATATATTCAATGATAATTTTTGATGCAGATTTTAAAAAAATGCATATTCATATGGAAATGGAACAGACTGCATAGGTGGTTATATACAAAAATGTCATTGCCTGGAAGAAGATTGATTCCTCCATTCCTCGGTAAAAGTATGACTGATTATCATTTTTGGCATACTGAAAAAATCTTCATGAATCAATTATCACTTATGATAAGTATCCACAAAACCAGAAATTAGAGACCCAGTCACCTCACTCTGTGCTAGGTGTGTAAACAATATTATATTTGATCAAGTAGTTATGTCTATTCAGAATCACACTATTGACATTCTGCCCATTGTGCACTCTTTATCTTTTGCCAAGCCATACACAGGAAAGGCATCCGGTGAAGAGAGAGAACAAAGTCTAATACATACTGTTTACTTGATTTATTTCATTTTCAACTTCTATAGAGATGCACAGCATGAATTATTTCTAGAATGTTAATGTTTCTATTCTTTGCTGGGTAAATATAATTATTTGAACACTCCAAAAGAACCCACTGTAACTGAAATAAGGAAGCGCCGGCCAAAGTATTCTGAGTATTGTTTAATATAATCCATTTTCTTTATATTCCTAGCATGTTTACAATGCAGACAAGTGATTTCTAGCATGCTGGGAAGTCTACTGCTTCTGCGGTTTGTAAGTCAAGGAAATCAAACCACTTGTGGTGGGAGCCTTTCACACGTAGCTAGTTGGTTGTGAGAGCAATTAAGTGCAAAGGGCGATGGGTAGTCATGGGTTGGACCCCTTAGTCTGCCATAGACCCCTGTGAAAAAATGGATGTGCAGAGAACCTTCACGTATGTACACACTGCAGGTCCAACTAGAAACACATTTAACTTGGGTAACATACCAATCCTAGTGCATGAATTCTGTAGCTACCATTTTCTAAGATTGCTGAATGTGCTGGGTGGAAGTGTGAATACCTCCTAATGCCTTAAGGAATGCAGGTAGAAAGCTCATTTTGATACTAAAATGTAGGAAATCTTTTAAAGTACAGATGGGTTGGAAGAATCAATCACTGTTACCACTTACAGTGGTACCTTGGCTCATGAATGCCTCAGTTCACGATCAAATCGGGTCACAAACAGAAATTTCATTAAAAAAATTGCTGCAGGTCACGAACTCTGTATCAGGTGACGATCGCGAGCGTTCCTCCTTCCCTGCACGGGGGGGGGGGGAGATGGCCATGATCGTGCTGGGGGGGAGATGGCCGCGATTGCACCCGTGTTCCCTGCCTGAGCATGCCTGCCTCCCTGCAGCACGCCTGCATCTGCACCCGTCTCCCCCCGAGCACTCCTGCGACCGTGCCCATCTCCCCCCCAAGCGCGCCCGCGATAGCGCCAGTCTCCCCCCCCAGTGTGCCCACAATTGCACCCTTCTCCCCCCACCTCTCGCATGATCTCTGCGGGGGGGGTGGATGGCCACGATCTTTGTTGTTCTTTGTTACTTTGCTTCAAATTTTTGTAAGTTAAAAAAATAGTTACAGAATGGATTAACCTTATTTACATTGACCCTTATGGGGAAATTTGGCTCACAACCAATTTGGGTCATGACCAGAGTCCTGGAACAGATTAAGTTCGTGAGCCAAGGTGTCACTGTATATGATCTAGATGCCAGACTAGCAGGAGGGAAATCTGGGTTCAAAGTCCTGTTCGCCTCTGAAGCATGGTGGGGATAAGAGGAAGACTATGCATAACACCCTACGTTCCTTGGCAGAAGGATGGAATAGAAAGGAAGGAAGTAAATACTTAATAACATTGAAATCAGAGACTACACTCAAACAACAGCACACAGTGTTGACTGATAAATACAAGTAAGGGAGTAGTCCTATGAACAGTGCTCTTGACGCTCATTAAGTCCCTGAAGTTGGATTTTTGCAAGCATCCAGTGCAAAACTAGAATGGTGGAATGGTGGAAGTAATCTTTGCCTTCCAGTAACTCACACTCAGCATTTTAGCTCGAGGTTTGTTTTTGGCTGTCTACCTTGTATTATGGCCTCTGCATTTCCTTCCCTCCCTGCTCTTTTTATCCCCAATCTTTGGTTGAATTTCTGACCTTTGAGAGGCAGTTGGCATAGCTCTTTTCATGCAAGCTGTGAGTGGAGGTTAAGGGATTGGTTGCAGCTCTGCCTGCAACCTCAGATTTGGGAATCCAGAGTATCCCGCACCCCACATATTATGTTTTAATTTCTTCCTGTCAAATCCATTTCCTCCAAGTTGCAGTCCAGCAGATTCTGCATTGTTTAGTTATGATCAGCAAAGCAGCGATAACAAAGAACATACAATAAAACTATGATAAAACCAGCAGTATGGGGTGAAAAGAATATAAAGGTAAAGGTTTCCCCATGACATTAAAGTCCAGTCATGTCTGACTCTTGGGGGTGGTGCTCATCTCTGTTTCCTAGCCAAGGGAGCCAGCATTTGTCCACAGTTTCTGTGGTCATGTGGCCAGCATGACTGAACACCAAGGTGCATGGAATGCTGTTACATTCCCACCAAAGTGGTACCTATTTATCTACTTGCATTTATATGTTTTCAAACTGCAAGGTTGGCAGGATCTGGAATAAAGCACGGGAGTTCACCCTGTTGTGCAGGGTGTCGACCTTTCAGCCCAGCAGCACAGCAGTTTAAACCACTGCGCCACCTGCAGTCCCAAAAAGAGTATAGCACATACCAAAACCAAAGTAAAACCAGCACTTAAAAATAGATTAAAGCAGATTATAAGGATTAAGAGAGATTAAAAGCACCTGTGAGAAGGTGTTCAGTCAATCCAGGAAAAAAACTTAAAAGTAGGCACCAGACAATGAAAAGGACAAGTAGAGATGGGTCTAATTTGCATATTGGTTACGTTCAGACCGTACCCCCACATAACTACTCCTAGCAGTTTCATGTAGATGGTGAAAAGCATGGAGGTAAAATAGAACAAGATTGAGCTGATAGTTCATATTTAAACACCCAGAAGTCTGCTACCAACAAGGCCAATGGGACTTGAAGGTCAGAACATCTATCTGGAGATCTTTAAACCCACCCCTGAAATAGAGTTCTCAGGAACTGCCTAGGGGCCCTCCTGCCCCTTGAGATCAGCAACAGATGCCCTTCTCCGGGAACCCTCTGTGAATGATATTAGGAGGGTGAGTACCCGGAGGAGGGCTTTCTCTGCGGTGGCGCCCCATCTATGGAATGCGCTCCCCAGAGAGGTCTGCCTGGCGCCGCCGTTATTTGTTTTTCGGCGCCAGGCGAAGACCTTTTTATTTAAAACTTATTTTAAGTGTTAATTTATTACGTAGGATTTAAAAAAAAAATTAAGCCGAGATGCACCGGGTTTTAATATCTTTCGTGTATAAATTTTTGTATGATTTTGTTATATTTTGTTTTTGTTGTGAGCTGCCCCGAGGCTTTGTTGCAATGGGGCGGCATAGAAATGTTTTAAATAAATAAATAAAACAGTAATCACCCAAGCAATACCAACACCCAAGTATGAGAATCAGCCGCCCAAGTACGAGCAGAACCACAATATGGTGCTTCTGCAGAACAAGACAGACAGCCTATCTAAAAGGAGATCATTGTTCATATCAAAAGTAACCAAGAGATACAGGAACCCAATTGTCACCTTTCCTACCCCTGTTCCAAAACACAACCAGACTTGAAACGAGATATAAATTAGGTGCTTCAGGAGTAAAAGCTCTACTGGATGGCTCTATGAAGATGGAAAGAAATTGGAAAGAAATCTTTCTTTGCCAATGCCACTACCACATGTTAAGGTGAATTGATACCACATTTAGCACAGATTGCATAACCCAAAAATGTCTGACACACTTTGAAGGGACAAATACTCTACCGTAAAAAAGGCACTGAAAATTGGACCTGACGAGAGTGTGAACTATCCTTTCCTAACCTGATGCCCTCCAGATATTTTGGATTACCACAACTATCCTCCCTCACTAATGGCCATCCTGCCTGGGACAAATGGGAGTTGAAGTCGAAAAAATCTTGAGGAAACCATATTGGGGAAGAGTAGTATAAACAGTATCTGTGAAAAGGAACATTATTTAAAATGTAAGGATTGATCCCTACTGAAAGCTGAACAAGGCTCTTGATCTGTCACCAATGGCCAACTCCATTGCAGGACACATCCAAACAGTATTCATTATTAGCAAATAATCATTCACCATCTTGGGTCATCAGAACTATGCAATACTGAATCTGTGGGATTATACTTGGGAAGAAATCAAAAACGTTTTGCAAACACACATATGCCTTGTGCTCTTACCAGAAGAATTGATGACAGTGTGTAGCTGCAAAATATGTCAGACCAGAATGTATAAACGTAACTTGCTGCATGTTCTGCAAGTGTGAAAAGCTTGTGTCCTAAATAATAAACCCCAGTTCAACTATTTACTTTCCT